CACACTTGGGCTCTAGACCCTCCACCATACATTAGACTTTCTAGCATCTTAGATATTATATCACATTATATATATAAAAATAATGGTCTATCTTTTGTGGTTGAGGAAGTAGCTTCCCAGCTCCTCCAGCTCCAGCACCTCCTCCTCCCCATCTTCCCTCGAGCTGATGCAGAGCTGATGTGGCTGCTTTTCCCACAGCTCTGCTGAACATCTGGCTCCCAGTAAACACACAGACAAGGGCTGACCAAGATTGAAATGCTGTACTCAGCCACGTAGTTTCCATCCATCCTCAAACCACTCGGTCTGGAAAGAGTCACTAAAAGGAGAGTGAAGTTTCCAGCAATACTCCTGCTTTCTCCCTAATCAGGAACATTTATTCCAGCACGTCAGATGCCATGGCAGTCAAGTCAGAACCACCCGAAACAGATGTGCCCCTGCTGCAGAGCTCCCACCACAGCTGGACTGCAGTGATCCAGGGGGGTTTTCTCCCTTCCACAGCTTTAAATATTAATATTATTCTGCTGCTCCTGTCATAAACACACTGAGAGCCTTGGAGGTGAATAAATAGCTGCCTCAGGCCCATGTAAGGTTCTGACTGCCCGGCAGGTCAGTGAAGGATCTCTTGTTATGTGATTAACTCTATCAGCATTTCCTGACGTGACTCACTTGCTAGAAGGATTCATCAGCAGCCAAGAGGGCTCCTGGGATCTTTCTGTCTAGCACGACATCAAAAACAGCAGTGGGAGAGAGGGGGGAAGCAAAACTGGCTCAGGAATAACGCTGGCTAAGCTTTTTCTATTTTAAGGAGAAATTGCCCAATATTTCTATTAAAAAAAACAAAACAAAACAAAACAAAACCCAAACAAACAGGAAAGAAATAGCAAAGGTTTGCAATCAAGTTTATATATCAACCCAAACACAGATGCCTTGGAGGCCACGTCGAACACCACATGTATGGCCAAAGCTCTTCCTGCCTCACGAAACTCCTGGGTCAGCCAAGAGTAACCCTGGCTGCTTTTGGAGAGCAGAAATAGATTTACTACAGCAGTCAATAGATTTACTACTGATTTACAGGTCGGGTTGCAGGCTCCTCATGGAGGGGAGCAAGTGGGAAGGACGCTGAACAGAGCCCACGCTGAGTGCTTGCTTGAGTTCCTTGGAGAGGTGTTATAGGGATTTTTTTGGGGGGAAGAAAGAAGCATTGGCTTCTGGGGTGAGAATTTGTGGAGATGGGTAAAAAGTGATGCACAAAAGCAGCAGCCCAGGACAAGCCCTGCATACCTGGGTAGGAAATGATCCACCCTTTTTTTCTGGGGCTTCTTCTCAACAAGAGAAAGGAGCGTGAAGAGAAGTGGAAGAGGAGAGAGGGAGACCTGGTTCCTTCCCACCACCAGCCAGTTTCATAATGAAGCATCATCACTTAATCACTAATATGATTTTCCACTGGAAGAGAACCCACGGAGCTGGCAGGTTTCCTATTTCAGGGTTTGGTTTTCATCTAGCACATAAATTTGCAGAAAAAGAAACCCCGACGACCCAACACCAAGAAGCTTCAACATAAAGCATGGCTGCTACCACCTCACCTAAGACAAAAACAACAACAGCAACAGAATTCAGCACAGAAAATGTATTTCCTCTGCCATTTCCAGTACAGTCGGTCACATTGAAGTATTTCCACAAGAAAGGTTAGATCTGCAAGAGGAGAAGAGTGGACATCCAGGCTGCTTGATGGCCAAGTGACTGCTGGGTGTCTGAAGCTGGAAAACACCAGCATTCAGTAAATTTAGGAGATGAGCATGTGCACTGAGGGAAAAGCAGGAGCCAAATTAAATTCCAACCTCCCCACCGGTGGCTTTCAGCCCTTGCTACTTACTGAAGGTTTTGCAGATGTCAGAAACAGCCTTGAAGACCCTGTCTGAGAAGTTGACCTTCACCTTGACGTACTTCATGTTGGGCAGCTGGAGGCGCAGCAGCTTGTGCTGAGGGGTGAACTGGAGCTTGGCATCAGCCTGTATCCCATATTTGTCCAACGTCCAGTGGGTTTTAAGGAGCCAAGTCTTCTTCTTTTCCCACCACAGCGCATGATCTGACCAGTCTTTCTTGACATCTACAACAAAGAAACCATTCGACCAGTTAAAAACCAGGACTAGAATTCGCCTTTGAAAGACAAAAGCAGAAGTTTAAAAGGGTTTCACCAAGAAGCAACTACTGATCCAAAAACACTGACAGCCCCTTTCAGATGCACATAAGTGGTAATATTCAATAACATCTAGAAGCCACCCCAGAGATAAAAGCAAGAAAAGAACCCAAGAGGAGTAAGGATGAGACACAACGTGTCCATGGATCACTCAGCCCAGCAGCACGAAGCCAAAAGGGTCATGAACAACCCAGCACCTTTCCCAGCAGAGATTCTGCACAGCTTTTTAGGTTAATTATCAATTCTTGGGCTTCCCCATCCCCACCACACACATGAGACACCCACGCTACCCAAAGATGAGTCCAGCCACCTCACCATGTGCTGAAAGCAGAACTAGGAGGAGGTTTGCAAGAAGAATGAAACAGAAATACTGTGTCTTCTCCAGGTCTTTCAAATAAAACTGGGAAATTCCCAAATGAAACTAAAAGCTGCTTCCCAAAGGAACACCACTGCAAGATCCAGCAGCCACGTCTCCCTCCAACAGGGAGGTAACCATGGAGTCTTTGAGGGTCACGTCCAAGTTGGGAAGAGTTTTGGGAATCAAAGCACAACACTAACTCCAAAAGACATCCATCATGCAGTACTTTCCCTAACACCTGGAATATTTTTTGCCATTCCTGTAGAGCATCTTCCAGTTGGACAACTACTGACTGGCATTAACAGTGCAACATCCCCCCATCACGCAGCAGAAAGGGAAGGAGATGGGAAGGGAATGATCCAGGTGATGCAGCTGCCTTTAGTAAAGCTCTGCTTAGCCAAAACCCTCCACCTCCAAAAATACTGACCAGGGGGTTGTGTCACCATCAATGGCAACAGCCAAAGCTCTCAGTCCAAAGAAAAACCCAAATGTTTCTTCAGGGTGTCACCTAGGCAAGCACAGGAGAACCTCAAGAGGCTGCAGGACAAGTTACAGGGACACTTCTATATTTGATATTGAAAATGATAAAGTCACCTATAATTTTTTGAGCTTATGGACTTTGTAGGGGATTATTTTGCTTTTCATAATAAAAAAGCTTGAAAACATAGCACTTTCCAGGTTAAGACACCAGTCATTCAGTTTTCAGCTCCAGATTCTCCTGCTATCCCAGATTCCCACCATGAAACATCACTTTAACCCCAATTAAAACTGCCAGCTAATGATTATTGCAACAGCTCCTTCCTCCACCCTTCGGCAGCGATGCTCGTGCACCTCAGGGGCACCAGCCAGAAAGTCAGGGGCAAACTCAGCCAGGTCCAGGGGTGAAGCCCCAGCAGACACACCACCAAACAGGCTGGAGGTACCAAGGAACCCACTCCAGGACAAACGTTACAAAGATGAGAACAGTATGACACACAAACCTTTTACTGTCCCTATCTGAAAAGAGAATCTCAACTTCAGGGTTTACTGAGAAAAGCCAGCAGGAGGTTTTTTTTTTCTTTGAACTCCTGGTGTAATGGCATAACCATGCAGCCAGAAAGTGGAAATGTTCAGCTAGACTTTTCAACAGCTTTGTACAATCAAATTAAACAAAACCAAATATAGAAAAGCATGCAAACTTGCACAAGCCTTGGCTACTCTGAAAAAAATCTGAGAAATCATTACAATGGACTTTGGTAATCAAGTCCAACTTCTGCCCTACTGAAAGCTGAACAAATTGGTGCTGCAAATCTGGGGGAGGAAAAAGAAAAGGCATTTTGAATGACTAACAGAAGAAGATTTAGGTTTATGCTACAGATTAACCTTACAGGCCATGGCACGAACGTGCTCAGCATCATCTTTTGGCCTGAGAGCAATTAACACTTTGAATTAACAGTGAGACGTTGGCTATGGCCAAAAAGGAAAAGGTTTGTGGCTGTCCCACTGGGTAGTTATATATAAAAGAGCCTGGCAAATGTTTAGCAGCTGACTTGTGGAGTTGAGTTCAAGACTAACACGCTGACAAGAAACCTTCAGAGCTGTGACCTGGGGCTTGGAGCAATCCTGGTGCACCAGGAAATGCCAACAGCCTGGTTAAACCTGGTCAAAGGTTTATACAGCTTCACCAGGGTCCCAGCTCACCAGTGACTCATTGGTTGGGGTTGCAGCTTTAGGAAGAGGCTTATTATTTCAGCTCAGTCCCTTCCCATTTACTACTGGTAGTCCCAGGACTGGATGTTTCATTTTTCTCAGAGCTTGGGTCAGTCTCCGAGTGCTGCAAACTCATTTTAGAGATCTCAGACCTCAAATTCAAAAGGTTACTGCAGGTCCAAAACCACACAGCAAACCTCAGTGGAGGTCTTTGGAGATCCAGAAGCTCCTCTGAGGTGTTGAATGCTCCTTGAATGTCCCTGAGCCACTATGTCCAGCCATGGAGTGTACCAGCCATAGAGCAACACTGCCACGCAGAGAGGCAGAGGTGGGCAGAGCCAACAAGTGGCCATCAGCATCTCAAAAAGGGCATGGACCTGTTGGATTGGGGCCAGAAGAGGTCATGAAGACAATCCAAGGGCTGGAACCCCTCTGCTGGGAGCCCAGCAGGAGAGAGTTGGGCTTGTTCAGCCTGGAGAAGGCTCCAGGAAAACCTTCTCGCAGCTTTTTAGGCACTTAAAGGGGCCTGTAAGAAAGCTGGGGATAGACTTTTTGGCAGGACCTGTTGGGACAGAACAAGATGGTCTTAAACTAAAAGAGGGAGATTCAGACTGGAGGGAAGGAAGGAATTGTTGACACTGAGGGTGGTGAGCCCCTGGCCCAGGCTGCCCAGAGAGGTGGTGGCTGCCCCATCCCTGGAACCATTCCAGGTGAGGTTGGCCGGGGCTCTGAGCAACCTGCTCTAGCTGCAGATGTCCCTGCTCAGGGCAGGGGGGTTGCACTAGATGGCCTTTAAGGTCCCTTCCAACCCAAATCATTCTGTGATTCTACAATTCAGTCAAAGCAAATAGCAAACAAACCAGGC